GGGAGACCATACTGCAGCCTTTCAGTACTTGAAGGAGGCCTCTAAGAAAGGGACAAATGTTTTAGCAGGGCCTGTTGCAATATGACAAGGGGAAATGGTTTTAAACTTTTTAAACTAAAAAGATTTGGGCTAGATCTAAGGAAGAAAGTTTTTACAGAGTGCTTCAAGGCACTGAACAGGTTGCCCAGAGAAGCTGTGGCTGCCCCATCCCTGGCAGTGGTCAAGGTCAGGTTGGACACAGGGTCTTGGAGCAACCTTCTCTAGTGGAAGGTGTCCCTGCCCGGGGCAGGGGTTGGAGCTGGAGGAGCTGTAAGGTCCCTTCCAACACAAACCAGTCTGGGATTCTGGGATTCTATGAAAAAAGATGAGAAAAGAAACCGTCACTGGGGAATGCAAATTAAATACCTGAAAAATCTTCTGCCATTACATGCTCTTCCTTTTAGAAGTAAGAGGCCTGAATATGGATTATTGTCTCAGTGATTGCATGCTGTCAGATACCGGCACCACAAGAAGCTTTGTCTGAGGGCACAAAGCAGCTAAGCCCACATGAAGACTCCACATCCCATCACAGCTCCCATATCACTGGCCAAATGGAGAGGCCATTGTCCCAGCAAAGAATTTGGCCTTTGATATACAAGTGGCACTCACTGAGGTGCACAAGCATTACACCCATGGGATTCTGCAACTGATTTACTGATTGCCCTGAAATTTAAACACCAGCTACATTCAAAAGAGGTGTCAGACTCTGGTCCTGGCCTGGTCCCAGATATCAGCTCCTACAGTCAAGAGAAGTGCTGCACTGGTAACTTCAGAGGCTCAAGAGGCTCCATTCAAGTAGCTCAGGCAGGGTCTGCTCTACCCAACAGATAGAGCTCAGCAGCCAGCAAAGAGCAGTCAGAGCATGGGGTGGGGGAAGAGGCATCACCAGGGGAATATATACCTTCTGAAAATTAACTCCTTGTGCCCAGGAGCAGTTCTTGGGGTTTGGAACATCTTCCCAAAACAGCTTCTTCATTCTGAAATATAAGGTAAATTCTGGAGTTGGAACTGGTCTCACATTCTGTACTGCTGCCATTCCCCTCCGCTGTGTCAGGAAAGGAACCTGTGCAATTTCATTTACCCAGAGCACTATGACAATGACATTTTCACAAGGTAACAAGTCTCTGCACTCAGGCCACTTTAATTCTCTGTGCTGTATTCCACAGTCCACTGCTTTTCAGTGCAGGACCTCAAAAATAGACATTAAAAATAATCCCTTTTTGCCCCAGAAACATCCTGCCCACTAGTTCAGCACAGAGGCATCCCCTAAGCTGCACCACCTTCTTCTGAAGACCTTTGAGATGACAATGAACAACCCACCTTTGTTGTGAAACCAGCAGTGCTCCAAGCAACAAAACTGAGGTTGAAATGACTATTGGCAGAACCACATAGAGGTTGGCATTGTTCTCATTTTCGTATCCAGCTGGAAATAAAAGGAATTCAGCTAATAATGCAGTCAAATAGTTTGTGAACAAGTAGTTTGCATCTAGATCACTGTCCATAGTTCTATTACAATGACTTTAATACTGACATTCGCTGGTAAGATACAGGCTTCTCTTGCATTTAAAGGTTACTTTTACAAGCTCCTATTTCACAACAACATGGAGAAAGCTCCTCTAAGTCACCTTTGGTAAAGTGATCTGTTGCTCTGGATTTGCCAACTCCTCCAGCAAACACAGGGTACAGGCTGAACTGGTATTTCTCAATCAGGATAAAGTGATCTGGAAAGAGGAAATGAGCCTTTTGAATCGCAACTATTATCCTCCTTTTACACAATTACCTGCACAGAGGTTCTGGTCACGTATCAGAGCTCAGATCAGCCCAGAGAGGGGAATAATGAGAGCTGTCTTTTATAGATATGTACTTTAATATCAGAAGATTAAACCCATTAATCTATACTGGACAATCTAGCATTATCCTGTCATGGAATTAACACCTTTATGGAGCTATTGTAAAAAAATTTAAGATTAAAGCCAAACTGCAAATGGAATGGACATATTAACTTAGATATTAGCTGGTGTATTCAATATTCCAGAGCCGATTTTATTGTGTTGTCAAAAAATTAACACACTTCTGAGCTTCAGTCTTGGTTAACCTGATTATTAATGCAGCAGTTAATCCTTTACAGTCAGTGCTCTAATGATGATCAGGAATTGCTCTGCTGGTCGTTATCATAAATCAGAAACAGAGAGGGGGAAAAGGAATCAGAGAGCTCAGTAATGTCCCATTTTGCTGTTCTGTGTTAACATAATATATTCTATTTCTCAGTGCACACTCACCATAAATGTAATATTTACTGATATTTGGAGGAACTCGCAGCCATTTCATCTCCTCTTCTTTGTTAAGGTTCTTCCACTCAATAATGAAAGATGTTATCACGTATATTTGAGGTGAGAGTGTCCAGATCAGAACCACACAAGTGCTGTTCACTGGGTAAGCGCTAAGGGACCGCACAACGCTCACTGACAGAGCAAGGAGAAACCAGCCATGAGTGACATGAGCACAGACAGAGTGAGATGATGATGGGTCAAGCAGGAGAGGCGTCTACTACAAACTATATGCACACAAGTGACTGCTACAGTTTCAGCACTTTATCATAGTATCCTAGAATCCCAGCCTGGTTTGGGTTGAAGGGACCTTAAAGCTCCTCCAGCTCCAACCCCTGCCACGGGCAGGGACACCTTCCACTAGAGCAGGTTGCTCCAAGCCCCTGTGTCCAACCTGGCCTTGAACACTGCCAGGGATGGGGCAGCCACAGCTTCTCTGGGCACCCTGTTCATTTATCATTTACTTGTTTAATTCTCTTCTATATAATAAAGCTTGGTCTTTAGCTCACATAAGCAAACATATTTCTCTTTAAGCCAGCACAGCTTGGTTCACACCAAACAGTCCTGAACATTAAACGGATCCAGTTTCTTAGCAGACATGAAACAAATATCCTCATTCTCATGTGCACATCCTTAACTATCACTCCTTAATCAAAAAACTATCAACAGCTACTGAACCATCAACATTTAAATAAGAACGCACTGAGAGCCCTGTAAGGTAAACCCTACTGAATCTAAGTAATACACCAAGATAACAATTGGACAAAGGCTTCCTGTGACATCTGCTACCAACCACAGGGTTTCCAGAGTACTTACACACAGCATCAGAAAGAATTTTATTCATAATAATGCTTTTAAAATAGCATTACAGCAGAAAAGTTCTACAAATAGGTTGCAGTGATGTTTCCCACAGCATGTATTTGAACGTGAATGCTACAAAATTGAAGTATTCCAAAGCAAGAGGCTTTACATCATTAGTAAAGGAGAGTGAATCAATAAAGTAGCTGAATCAATGAGAGGCTTCTTAGGAAGTAAAGCCAAACCTCTCCAGCTATGTACTCTGGCAGCCCCTCAGGTGAGCAGCCAGAGAAACGAGACCGTATTTCATTTTGGAAAC